AAAATAAGCCAGAGCCAGAAACTCAAAGGTTGAATATTTCTCTGATATGTAAAAGCTAGAATAAAATAAAGGAAAGGGGGAGGGAAGGATAGGATAATATAAAGAACCAATTGAATATAAATAGATGAGTGAAAGGAAGTCAAGAAGAGTAGAGGAAGGAGAATGGGAGAGGGGAGGTAGGACAGGAAGGAAAAAGAAGAGGGAAAGGGGGGGACATCATGAAATGAAATTGATTTCTATGCATATATGAGTGTTGGGAAACTCAACTACTACATATAAGTGCTATTTAAAAACATTTCATTTTAAAAAGCACTATGCTGAGTAAAATAAAATAGTTCATAAAGTAGTACAGACTGTACAATTCCATTTATATGAAGTTCTAGAATAGGTAACACTGGTCTACAGTGCTAGATTACTTGGCTAAGGGTATGATTTGAGTCACTGCAAAGAGGAACAACTATTTCGGAGTGAGAGAAATATTCTATATCATGATTGTGGTGGTGTTTACACACATATATATGTTTATGGATATATGTATACATATATTGTGGTGTAAGGCCTAAAACTAAGGACTTTTATGCTGCTTTAACATCTGATGAAACTAAGAAAGTATCAAATGACCAAAAAGCAAGTTCTTGGAAAAGGTCCCCCAGCTAAACAACCATGCTCACCAAAAGGACCAGGTGCAGGTCCTGCCGATGCCTGAATAGCAGGTTTCAATTTCCAGCAAACCTACAGAATTATTCAGACAAGCCAATCACATCCTTCCACAGTGACCAGGGGAATCCTACAAAACAGAAATAAGGAAGAGGAATATAAATGACAATTTTAAGAGGTGAGACTGCAAAGGAATCAAAAACACCTCCCTTCTCCTCTAAATATCACCCAGCTATTTGCAGCACAAAAGATGACTCGGGATGATAGAACTAGTGTGTAGACCAATGGAAAATTTCCCAGACAGAGCCATCTTGGCAGAAAGAAGAAAACTACAGGGGGATTGTTGCTGAGAGGGGTAGGGGGCTACCAACACTACTCAAAGGATACCTAGTAGGTCCCTGGCCATTTGACCTACCTCCAGAGTTAGGTGGACATAGGTCACAGGAGTACGCTGGACTTATTCAGCAAAAGGTTTCCAAACACTTTTCAAACTGCTTCAGCAGAATCTCTTTAAAACCAAACAGCAAATACCTTAACACAATCATCCTTCATATCCACCCAGAAAGGCTGACTGCCAGCATTTTGAGTTGGCCCTCATAATTAGAGAGGTTCCAATTGTTTTAAGATCCCTGTAAGTTGTAAAAACTTCAAACTTCAGCTGCGTGCAGTGGCACATACCTGTAATCCCAGTGACTCCAGGAGACTGAGACAAGAGGTTCACAAGTTTGAGGCCAGTCTCAGCAGCTTAGGAGACCCTCAATGACTTAGCAAAACCTTGTCTCAAAATTAAAAAAATAAAAAGGGCTGGGGATATAGCTCAGTGGTAAAGTGCCCCTGGGTTCAATCCCCAGTAACAAAAACAAACAAAAACTTCAAACTTCATTTACGTTATTAAAATATTCCCTCTGGATAGGAAGGGCAGCAGAATACAACAGACACTAGTATGGCAGTATGTAAAAAAGTGGATGTGTAACCGATGTGAATCTACAATATGTATACGGGGTAAAAATGGGAGTTCATAATCTGCTTGAATCAAATGTATGAAATATGATATGTCAAGAGCTTTGTAATGTTTTGAACAACTAATAAAAAAAATAAAAAATAAAATAGTCCCTCTGATTTCAGGAAGACTTTGACCTATTAGAATTCAAATTGCAAGCTAATGATGTTTTCATTATTTGGAAGAACAAAAGTGTAATCAGATATATAAGGTATACAGTGTACCTTCAGCCCCATATATGGCCCTGGAAACCACAGCACAAAAATGGCAAAAATTGCCCAAATGGATAGAGAGAGGGAGGGAGGGAGGGAAGGGGGGGGAGAGAGAGAGAGAGAGAGAGAGAGAGAGAGAGAGAAGGAAGAAGAAAGAAGAGGAAGAGGAGGAGGAAGAGAAAGACAATGAGGGAAGGGGCAGGGAGGGAAGGGGAGGGGGGACAATTATGGGGAAAAAACATAAGTGTGATTCATTTCTTAATCACACAATCCAGAAAAATCACCAAAACTTATAGTTGATTACACAACTGTCAAGATTAATTTTACATGCCAAATTGACTGGGCCATTAAGTGTTTAGATATTTCAAATATTACTCCAGGTGTATCTGTGAAAGTGCTTTTGAATAAGATCAACATATGACTCAGTAAGACTGACCAAAACAGATGACCCTCCCTGATGCTGGGGGACCTCATCCAATTACTTGAAGGCCTAAAAGAACATGAAAGCTGATCCCCACCCCACCACGAGTAACAGGTAAGTCCTGCTGTATGACTGCTGCAAGCTGTGACATTGGTCTTTTCCTGCTTTTAGACTTGAATTGAAACATCAGCTCTTCTTGAGTCTTAAACCTGTGGGCCATCATACTAAAACTTACACTATTGATACCTGGTTCACACACCTTTAGACAAAGATTGGAACAACACATTGGCTCACCTGGTTCTCTAGCTTGCTGTCTGCAGATCTTAGTACTTCTCAGACTCCATAATCATGAGACAATCATATAACAGACTTAAATAGTTACACAGATAAATTGATAGGCACACAAATACACACATTGGTTGTATTTCTGGAGAACCCTAATAACACCTCTTTTATTCAGTGCTAGGGATTAAACTCAGGGTCTCACACAGGCTAGGCAAGCAATCTACCACTGAGCTACATTCCTGGTCCCCTTAAACAACCTTTTAACATCATAAAAGGCATTATCCTATAAGACATATGGCAGATCATCTGAATTTATTGGGATATGTAACTTTGACCAAAAATCAATAAGAGAGCAAAGGCTTTTTACAGCAATATACATTTAGAGATTAACCTAAATAATATGGTATGATACTTTATTTTATGCCCATTAAAGAAAGTATAATTTTATGTTTTGCAGAATATCAACCAAGTGTATACCTAAACTACAATCAGAGTTCTGCATTTCGTATCCCACTACCTACACAGTCAAGGCAATATAAATCTAATGCTATTACTGAACACCTATGCCATTCCATTGGTTTCATGAAAAATGGGTTAAACAAAATTTTGATAAGTGTTCATCAACAAATGACATATGTGTGAGATTTGGGGTTTGGAATAATTAGGTACTGTAAGTTCAGGTTGCTTTTTGGAAATGAGGGAATCTTTCCCCCAAAGTACCTCTCTTCTTCTTACCCTGCCTTGGCAAATAAGCTAAGGGGAATGAAAAAGACTGGTTTACAAGATTCAGCATCTGCAATTGGATAGCTGTCAATAAGGTGTCCATCCCCAGAACAATCACATGACTCAATCTTCTGTTTTATATAATGCCAAGCAAGAGTCAACATCACTATCTGTAGGGCAGAACACAAAGGTTTTGAACAAGAAATAGGCTCCATTAACAGGACCAGACAGGGAAAGGGGCCATACTCATTACGACTCAATTTCTTTTTAAATAGTGTCTGACATTTATTGAAAGTAAGGAAAAGAAACTTTTGTACAGGTAGTGTAGAAGAGCTGGAAAGAGTACACGGGTTACTGTGTTGAACAAAAGGCACACACATCAGAGAGACAGTTGCACATTCAGAAGAAAACTGGATTCTGGGGAAAACTAAGTGGTCCACAGGAGAAAATGAGAGACTCCATTTGGCTGCCAGGAACACAAGAGGTCTCTGGGAGGAGGGAGGGAATGGGATGTGCTGAAGATGAAAGGCTGGCTGGCCCCTTCTGGGGAGGGGGCGGTGGCAGCCAGCTGGGTGAATCAATGTCCACGGGCTGTGGCCAGCTCAGGTACCTCCAAGGAGAATCCAGATCACTAGGAGCGGCAGTCTGTCGGTGAGTGTGGTGGAAGGCGATGGCAGCGCAGCGCAGCACAGGCGTGTGGGCAGAGCGCGATGCAGTCCGGTGGTCTGGCAGGGGTGGTGGGCAGCGGCCGGCTGTGGGTGGTGTGTCCAGTGTGTAACGGGGGCCCAGCCTGCGTGCGGCTGGAGCACAGGACAGCGTCCGAATGGGCACGGGAGGGGCTGGGCTGGCAGCACAGGGCGGGGGCCCGCTCCAGAGCGAGGCCCTGTGGCGGCAGCTGCGGGAGCCTGGAGCGCTATTCCTGGAACAAAGGCAAGCACTACGCGGGAGGGGACAGCAGCGCAGGGAGACCGCGGTGACGCGAGCGAGCTAGCTAGCGAGTGGGGAGGGAGGCGCGGCGGGAGGGCGCCTGGCTCAGCTGACCCTCCCCAGAGCACCGGCCATAGGCCCGAGGGTCTGCAGGCCTAGAAGTCCTCGTCCTCCTCCCATCCAAAGACCCGCTTCATCTCGGCCAGGAAGCCCCGGTAATCATTGAGCAGGGGGCTGTCCTTCTTGATGTAGGGGATCACCCACTCCAGGGCCGGGCCCGTGAGGCGGGTGATGAGGAACGTCACCTTCAGGGCGTCGCTGGAGAAGGTCTTGTCGTCCACGAACATGTAGGAGCCGGTCTGCACGATGAACTCGGGGAGCCGGTCGGTATCGCCGTCAAACGTCTCGGGAAAGGGAATCGGGTTTCTCCACCGACGCGCCGCGGGCCGGATGGGCCAGGCCAGGAAGGCCTTCATCAGCTGCACCCGACCGTCCATCGCGCCGCTGTCAGTCGGCTGGGCTCCGCTGCGTTTGCAGGGCTGCGGGGCTGTCAGGGCCGAGGCGTCGCCGGAAGTGTATGTTTGCGGAGGCGGGCCCAGGCCGGGGTGGGGGCGACCGTGGGCGGAGCCACGGCCAGGGTCCCTGCGCCTGCGCCGGCTCCACTCAGAAGCCTTGGTGGTCGCTAGTGCGCAGGCGTGTCTCTGGGTGCTCTGGGGCCAGATGGGGCGGGGGCGGGTATGAGGCCCTCAAGAAGGAGGGGTTGGTATCAGAGGGGCTGGATGGCGTTTCTTATTGTGGGACCTGGGTGAGCAACCGGGAGCAGGGTGGGAGCCCAGGACACCTGGCACTGTTTGGTGAGGGAGGAGCCCCCTGCCTTTGGTGATCTGAAGGGTCCATGTCCTGCAACCTGAGGAGGCTTCCCGCAGGTACAGCTCCCTGCCCCTCATTCATCAGCTCTTGGGTATTCTTTTGTTATTTTTGGCTCTAGATCCCCCTTGAGTGATGCTCAGTGCACTTATTTTCCTGCTTCTTTGTTCATCTTTCAGCGTGAGAAGCATTATCTCCCTGGCTGCAGATGTGGTTTCTTTGCAGCATTAATTAGGAATGACCCAAATATTAGTTAATATAATAAGCATCAGCTTATTCAAAGAACATATAGTGAACAATTTATGTAAGGAATGTTAGTATTAAGAAATATTGTAATGTACAATATTAACGTTTTCTTAGTGATTCACGTGGTTTATTATTATTAATTTGCTTAGGGTATAATCCTGCAACAAAGTATGAGCACAGGGTACATGTTATTACTTCGACATCTGCTTTTTTTTTTTTTTACTTTTAAGTTTTATACTCTATTATATTCTATAGTAGTCAGTAGTTGTTTTTTTGTTTGTTTGTTTGTTTTTTGTTTTGGTACCAGGGATTGAACTCAGGGACACTCAACCACTAAGCCACATCCCCAGTGATATTTTGTATTTTACTTAGAGACAGAGACCTACTGAGTTGCTTAGTGCCTCGCTTTTGCTGAGGCTGGCTTTGAACTTGCAGTCCTCCTGCCTCAGCCTCCGGAGCTGCTGGGATCACAGGCGTGCACCACCATGCCTGGCCAGTAGTCAGTGGTTTTTTAATATTAAAAAAAGTGAGCAAAATTCCTCTAAAAATTAATCAGTCCCAGATGCAAGGGTGAAAGCCTGTAATCCACCCAATCTGAATCTGAGACAGGAGGATCACAAGTTCAAGGCTGGCCTGGGCAATTTAGGGAGACCCTGTCTCAAAATAAAATAAAAAAGGCTAATAGTGATATAGCTCAGTGATGAAGTGCTTGCCTACTATGCCGGATGCCCTGGGTATGCATAACCTACCACCACAACACACACATGTACACACACCACAGATTTAAAAACAATTTCCCCAAGAGAATGGTTATAGTGAATTTCCAGAAAAAAAAAATTCATTCTGAACCCCACAAAGGACTTGAAAAGCTGGTTCTAGTCTAAAGGCCTACAGGCTCAAGTTTCAGTTCAAGTCCATTTGAAAGAAAAATCTGATGTTTCAGCTCAAGGCTTTCAGGCATTTGGAAATTCCCTCTTACACACTTGAGGATCAGGCTTTTGTTCTATTCAGACCTTCAATACATCGGATTCTGTCTGTCCACATTAGGGAGGACAATCCATTGTTCTCAGTATACCAATTTAAATTATAATTTCATCCAAAACACCCCCACAGACAAACCCAGAATAATGTTTGATCAAATGTCGGGGCACCCTCTGATCCAGTGAATTTGAAACATAAAATTAACCATTATAATAATCACATGATCTTACTTATTCTCTGGTAGGTTTTAAAATTTAAAGAAATTATTTAGTATCCAGTTTTAATAAGATATCGGAGAAATGAGCATTCTCTTCGATTTGTAAAGAGAGTTTAAAATGGTCACGGGTTTGTGGAGTACATTTTGGTTATGAATTTCAAAACCATATAAATATCTAATATGTTTTGTCTCAGAAAATCTGTTTCTAGCAGATTGTACTCTAGATGAAAAACCGAATGGCCCCACATGCTAAGCATCCCAGGTTCAGTGCACATATTTCATTACAACATCCTGGTGTCAGTGCTATCACCTTGCTGGTGCCCACACCCGTTCCTCCTAAATGTAAAGGCATTCTGTGGCTCATTTATCTGTTTGCTCAGAGATACACATCCTACCATATTGATAAAAAAAAGAAAATTCCCTACTATGGTCTGAGTGGGTCCCCCCAAATTATTGGAGCTTATGACTCATGTCACAGGACAGAAGTGTAGCAGTGTGCCCATTTCCCATAGTGGACGAGTCTTATCATGGTCCTCATCACTCAAAGCATTTGGCATGACATACTGGGAAAGAATGGAAGAAGAGGAAGCAAAGGTGGGTTTTGGGGTCACTGGAAGGTGTGGATGGAGAAAGTGCTAAGGAGATCAAAGATGTATGGAGAAGAGGAAGGAAGCCTTGGGATGACTTATGGGAATCATCTCTGTTACTGGGGACCAACATCATAGTAATTAATGAATCATCTAGTCAGGTCCTTTATCTATTGATATATTGGGGATTGTCTTAGTTCATTTTCTGTTGTTATAATGAAATACCTTAAACTAGGTGATTTATAAAGAATAGAGGTTTAGGGGCTGGGTTGTGGCTCAGTGGTAAAGTGCTTGCCTGGCACGTGCAGGACCCTGGGTTCGATCCTCAGCACCACATAAAAATAAATAAGTGAAATAAAGGTATTGTGTGCAACTACAACTAAAAAATAAATATTAAAAAAAGAATAGAGGTTTATTTTCGTTCATGTTTCTGGAAGTTAAAAAGTCCAAGACTAGGTGGTAGTATCTGGTGAGGGCCTTATTCTGCACTCTAGCATGGGGGGAAAGCAATAAGACAAGCAGACATGTACAGAAGACAAAAAAGGGGGCTGTGCCTGGTGTGGTGGCACACACCTGTAATCCCAGAGACTTGGGAGGCTGAGGCAGGAGGATTGCAAGTTTAAGGCCAGTCTCAGAAACTTCACAAGGCCCTCAAAAACTTAGCAAGAACCTGCCTCCAAATAAATGAAATAAAAAGGACTGGGGACATAGCTCAATGGTAAAGGCCCTTGGGTTTAATCCCCAGCACCAAAATTGGGGGGACTGAACTCCTTCCATAGCTAACCCTTTCCTGCAAGAAAAGAATTAATAAAATCAGAGCTCTTATGACCCAAATATCCCCCACTATGCTACTTCCCACCACTGACACATTAAGGAGTTAAGGCTCCAACATGTGACTTTGGGGAGATCCTCTCAGAACATGTAGGGAATTTTCTTTTTTTTTTTTTAATCAAATGGTAGGATGTGCATCTCTGAGCAAACATATAAATGAGCCACAGAATGCCTTTACATTTAGGAGGAACAGGTGTGGGGACCAGCAAGCTGATAGCACAAGCACCAGGATGCTGTAATTCTGGTTTTGCCTACACACACACACACACACACACACACACACACACTGCTGGGGCTTAGCTTCTGCAGCCCTGACTCCTTTGTGTCTCCCTTATTGCTGCCAACCAGCGAGCACACCTTCACATATCAGTCTTTCTTGGAGATCTGGACTGGTTTCCTCCTCAGCCCATTCTCTGTCCTCAGGAGATCTCAGCTACTCCAATGACTCCAAACCTTGAGAGCTATAGCTTGGGTGGTGCAAAGCCTTGAAAGGGGGGCAACCAGAAGCCTTGGAGTCCTAATTCCTGGCCCAGTGTGTCTGGAAGATGGAAAATTAAGTCAGAGAAAGTTGTTCTGGAGTGCTAAGATTTTTGTTTGATTTCATATGCTCACAGGTAGAGACAAATTTCCCTCCAGATAAATCATACATGTGAGTCTTACTCATATCTGATTGATTGATTGATTGATTGATTTGAAGTACTCCCCAGTACTTCCCAATACTGCAAATAAACCAGGGGTGTTCTATCACTGAGTCACATCCCTAGCCCTTTTTATAGATATTTTTAATTTTAATTTTTTTTGTACTAGGAATTAAACCCAGGGACACTCTGCCTCTGAAATACATCCCCAACCTCTTTTATTTTTGAGACAGGATCTCTCTAAGCTGCTGAAGCTGGCTTTGGACTTGTGATCCTCCTGCCTCAGCTCACATTACAGGTGTGCTCATCCAGCTTCACATCTGATTTAGATAAGACTCTGGACTTTATACTTTTGAGTTGGTGCTGGGACAAGTTAAGATTTGCCAGAATGGGGTGCTATTGATATTGAATGAGTTCATTTTTCATGTGAGAAGGACATAAATTGGGGGGGGGGGGTTCAGGGACACATGCTATGATTTGAATACTGGTATTCCTCCAAAATTCCTGTCAGAATCTTCAATGTAATAATATGAAGGAGTGGGGCATTTGGGAGGTGATTAGGTCTTTCTTCATGAGTGGGATTAGTGCCCTTATAGGACAATGTGTTAGCTTTAATTGCTGAGACAAAATACCTAAGATAAATCAACTTACAAGGAGGAAAGATTTCTTTTGGCTCATATTTTCAGAGGTTTCAGTCCATGTTTGGATGACCGCATTGCTTTTGGCTCTATGGTAAAGCAGAGCATCATGGCAGGGAGCTTGTGGTGGAGCAAATCTGCTCACCTCATGGCAGTCAGAAAACAAGGAGTCAGGGTCGCAATATCACCTTCAAGGACATGACCCCAATGACCTAACTTTCTTCTATTAGGCTCTACTTCCCAAAGGTGCCACTGCATGACCTTTAGGGAACATTTAAGATCTAAATCATAGAAGATAGGTGTGAGGGAGCCTCTTTTGCCCCTTCTACCATGTGAGGATACACAGGCAGTGGCATCAATAAGGAATAGGTCCTCACTAGACACTAGACACTAAATCTGATGGGACCTTCATCTTGGACTTCCCAGTCTCTAGACTTTGAGCAATGAATTTCTTTTTTTAAAGTTTTTTATTTTTTATTTTTTTATGTATATGTGTGTGTGTGTGTGTGTGTGTGTGTGTTTGGTGCTGGGGATTGAACCCAGGGCCTTGTGCATGCAAGACAAGCACTCTATCAACTGAGCTATAGCCCCAGCCCAAGCAATGAATTTCTGTTGTTTATAAATTGTGCAGTCCGGGGCATTTTTTATAGCACCCTGAATGGACTAAATACCTTCAACTGAAAAACAAAAAATCTCTGAAAGATAAACAGCTGGTAAGAAGAAGAGCTGCAATTTTAATTCAAGCAACATGCCTCAAGCCCAGATTCTTAAACTTCTATCTAGAATGCTTAATAGAGAACACAAATCGATCATTTTTCTAGACAGGCCATGGATGTGAGATAAACTATGGATATAACAAGAGTGACTTGTGACAAGAGATAATAGAAACATAGGTGAACTATGATGTAGGATATGGGCAGTGGTCAGGCATTGAGAGGATCCAGCCATTTGTCCATCTGCAAAGGTCAGTCAGAGGGATGAGCATCAGCAACAAGTATGGATTGAATTGGGAGTTCCTGGAAATGGGATTCATTGCAACCATCCTAGTCTTCTTCTTTTTCCCTCCCCATGCTACTTAAGTTCTTCTTTTTTTTTTTTTTTTGAGAGAGAGAGAGAGAATGAATTTTTAATATTTATTTTTTAGTTTTCGGCAGACACAACATCTTTGTTTGTATGTGGTGCTGAGGATCGAACCCGGGCCGCAACGCATGCCAGGCGAGCGCGCTACCGCTTGAGCCACATCCCCAGCCCTACTTAAGTTCTTAGTTTCATTACTTCAGTGATTGCTGGACAAAACCTATAACAACTCCCCTGCCCTTTTGGATCTTTATCAAGGTATTATCACAAAAACCTAACTCTGGAAAAACCCACTTTTAATCAGTTTATAAAGGAGCAGCAAGATTCTAGTGGATAAACCCTCCTCCATGGACAATACCTGTGATATATATATATATATATATATATATATATATATATATATATATATACACACACACACACACACACACGCATACATATACATGCCGCAGTCTGGCTGGGCACAAAATCACGAGCCACTCACAGCCTTGTAGATTCAAACAGCAATTCTTTATTCCCGAACTCACACCAGCACTCTACACACGTTCTGGGGAAATCCACGTTCTCTGCCAAATTCCACGTTCTGCATCCCAAATACTCTCTGAATCCCGCGAGAACTCAACGGGAACTCAAGGAGCAGGCGAGCCTGAGGCATCAGGATACGCCCTATTCCCAGCAGGGTACACCTTAAACCTGGAACCGCCCTAAACCTGGATTGTCCTAAACCGGGAACACCCTAAACCCCGATCCGCCCTGGTCCTTGAGCAAGGTCACCTTACATGCAATGTCACTGCAAATGACCTGGGTCATGCCATGCATCATTCTTACTTAGCAATGGCCCTCAGCATCTACATACATATATACATATACATACATTGTAAGGGTCCGGCAAAGCGTCAGAGAAAGAGACCACCAAGTGACCACTCATGCAATTGGCAGAAGGGGATTTATTGAACCAGCATGCTGGGGCTCCGTGCCCACTCGAGAAGGGAAAGCAGCCCAGAGCCCAGAGCAGGGGTTGTGCAATGCTTAAGTACACTTTTTGGGGAGGGCGGGACTTTACATACATCACAGTCTCCTTTAACAAATCATCATACACCACGGGAAAGTCAAACAACAATTCCTAGACTTGATTAGTACATTCATTGGCGGGAACAGGTCAGGCTGGAGTGATAGGTCATTCCTAAGGAGGGGGTTACATTCAAACTGATTGGTTTGGGCCTTGAATGCCTACGTGACAAGCTGCACAGGATCTCGGGCTATAAATCAACTAAATGGCCAGTAGGGCATTGTCTTAACTGCCTCAGGAATTTAACCCATGCTTTGCAGTTTAGAAGCAGGTTTACAATGCCTGGTCCTTTACATTTTAACTCAGGCTTTGCAGCTTAGAAACTTTACAATGCCCGGTCTTTTATACTTTAACTTCAATTTCTTTTACCCTTACAACATACACACACACACTCATGCATACACATACCATTATGTTTTGATATACTTATGCATTGTGGGATGGTTAAATCAAGCTTATTAAAAATATCCATTTCCTCATATCTTATCCTTTTTTGTGCAATAGATCTCAAAAATGAATTCCTAGCCAGGTATGGTGTCGCATGCCTGTAATTCCAGGAGCTTGGGAGGCTGAGGCAGAGGGATTGAAAGTTCAAAGCCAGCTTCAGCAATGGTGAGGCACTAAGCAACTCAGTGAGAGCCTGTCTCTAAATAAAATACAAAATAGGGCTGGGGATGTGGCTCAGTGGTTGAGTGCCCCTGAGTTCAATCCCCAGGACTCTCCCCAAACAAAACAAAACAAAACAAAAAATGCTGAATTCCTCCTAAGTGAAATTTTGTACAATTGATTATCATCTCCCCATTCCATCCCCTCTGCTTCTCATCTGTTCCAAACTAAGATTTAGGAAGCTAAGACATTAGATGTAGACAGTTGGATTATTACAGTTGTATTCTTAGCACTGCTCAGTAATCCAGTTGTCTCTGGTGCTTTAGGTTCTTAAACCACAGTTTGGAATTGATTTTTTTAAATATTTTTTTAGTTGTTGATGGACCTTTATTTTATTCATTTATTTATATGTGGTGCTGAGAATTGAACCCAGTGCTTCACACATGCCAGGCAAGTGCTCTATCACTGGAGCCACAACCCCAGCCCCAAAGGTTAACCACTTGGAACTGATTTTAATCAATTTTATTTTGCTCTTTCTTCAGACTTCTGAAGAAAACTATGAGGACATCTTTCCTAGCTACTGTTGGCTGTGAAGTTCCAGGGCAGGTAAGGCATCATCATGAAATATTGCATAGTCACACAATGCAGCTTCACTTTCTCACCTCAAAATAATCTTCCCTATGAGTGGAACAGTGCTATCATTAGAGAGTGTCCCTCCCAAGGGAATTTGTACAGTGACTCTGCTAATGCAACTAACATGACCCAGAGACCATGTGATCCCCCTTCCACAGTTGGGGGTAGTAAGTTCAACATTCAAGGTAGTCAACTCTAGCTAGGGTCCCTCTTGTGTAGACTCAGAAATTGAGTGCAGCTGCAAAAATCACTCCACAGATGGCCTTCTGAAAAAATATCTGTGTTCCCTTGTGTTCTTGAATACTCATGGCACTTGATGATCTTTGCTGCTCATCCAAAGCTCTGCTATCATTCATCCTAAAACAACAGAATAAATTGCTCCTGTTGGGGTTGGGGAAGGGAACATGAAATCAGGGATGGCCTCAGAGAGCAGGTGGCTTGTGACTAAGCCACTGAGGTGATAGGGATAAGTCCTAAGTTTGAGCCATGGGGGCAGGGTGGGGGGTTGTTGTTGGTGCTGGTGCAAGATCTTCACAGACAGAAAGGGAGGAAAGGATATGGAAATCCAGAACAGAGTAGTAGAGAGTTGTTTGAATTATTTGCTGGGACCAATCCTGGGAGGCTGCTATGAGTTAACTTGTTGGATCCCCCTGTCTTTCCCACAGTTACGGCAACCTCAATTGGTTTCCCAACATTCCAAGTGCAAGTCTTGGGTCCACCACACCGTGCCTCACCCGGGGTTATCTGATTCCAGAGATCATATCATTCTCAGGCATCCCAGCTCTGATGTCTATCCATGTGCCCACCTAATAGCAAAGAAAAACTCCCATCTACCAGTAAAGGTGAGAGGAATAAATATGGAAGGCTTCCTGGAGGAGGGTATGACTGAACTGGGTCTGGATAAATTGGGTGAGCCAGATTTCAAAAATCAGAAATGTTAGGAAGCAAAAATTAAGGTAACGCAAAGGCAGATATGGGCATTGAGGTATGGCACACGGAATAACAAGCAATTACAGTATGAACTGGACCTTGAGGTATGGGCAGTTTCCTCCTCTAAACGTGGAGAGAGTGGACAGTTTCCCTGTCTATCATCTCAGATCCTCCAATGATGTTGTTGAAGGCAGGGCCATAAACTGGCAAAGAAGACCTACCACGTGACCATTAACGGATAGATTGTACAACTGGGCTTCTATAAGCAGTTCCCCACCCAGATGTGGGAACTGGGTGGCTGCCTACGGTGATCACATAAGTGTAAGTTTAATAATTTTGTTTCTTAATTGGTGGTTTGTGTTGTGATTCTGATCCAATTGAGTATATGATTTGTCCTAACGTCTTACCAGATGTGATGGTAACAGACGTGTCCTATGAGCTTCTGGATAAATGACAGTGAAAGCTACGCTGGCCTCAGTGTTATACTTTATATACCAACATGGTGAGTTTTTCAGATGATTTTATTTGTTTAAATAAAACACCACCCCAGCCCCATTCATGATCATTGGGTTTTGTGTTGTTTTGAACTTGAAAATGAGAAACAGTTGGTGTGAATGGCTGAGCTGGTGTTGGTCTAACATGGCAGTAGCATTTGGCTGCTAGAGAGCTAATTTTCCTTTTATTTTACAGAGTGGTTGGATAGACATTGCTGAGATGTTTTCATTTTAATCTTGGTCTTGGCCATGTCCATGAGATATCATATAAGATATTTGTGACCAGAAAAGGAGGAAAGTAACATGCCAAGAAATCTGGTGTGGGATTAGGACAGCTTGTGGCAGCTGCCCTTGCAGCCAGTTTTGCATTTCATTTAGCACCATGTTTATATGCTTAATATAATTTTTTTGGTTAAAGTTTAGAATTGATCTTCTTCATATGTTGTTGTTATCTTTTTAAAATGTTTCCTGATAATTTCACCATGAAAATAAGCAAATTATTGTTCATCTTGTTCACTAACCATCAGGAATCATCTGAAAGTGGTCATTGAACTCTAGTTTTAAATTTTTTTCCTATAATTTACTTGTGTATTTAGTATCATTTGTATTCAACAAAAGTGCTCCTTAAAAGTCTGGTGTTGGGCTGGGGTTGTGTAGAGAGCTCAGTAGTAGAGCGCTTGCCTAGCATGTATGAGGCACTAGGTTCAATACTCAGCACCACATTAAATAAATAAATAAAATAAAGGTATTGGGTCTATCTACAACTAAAAAATTTTTTTTAAAGTCTGGTGTTAGTTACACTTTATGAATATGAAACATAGTGGGTTGCTTGGCAAGAACTTGTAGGTTTAAGATCCTGCAGGGAATGGAGTTCCCAGGTTTCCTGTTTCTTACGTTATTTTATAATAGAATGGCATGGGATTTTTTTCATGACATTGCAATCACTTGAATTTGTTTAATTTTGATTTGACTTTGTTCTTTAAATATTCATTAAACAAAAATGTTTTCAGTGTGTGTATTCTGAAATGAATATTCTGGATGGGCACTTAAAGTCTTACAATCACCATGGATGCCCTTACTGCTTTTTCACTCCCAAAATTGAACTCAATTTGGTGTTTAATTTTACATGTTCATCCTCATTGTATTTGATTATGTTCTGGTCCTGGGTCTCCTATAATGCCTTTGAATATTTTTGTGTAAATTTCAATTTATAGAGAGAAAATTAATGTTTGTTAGTGTTAGTCATCTTTCCATCACTGTGACAAAATACCTGAGGAAAAAAATTTAAAGCAGGAAAGATTTATCTTGGCTTACAATTTCAGAGGTTTTAGTCTATATTCACTTGGTACTTTTGTTTCTGGGCTTGCGGTGAGGCAAAATATCATGACAGGTGTAGTTGCTCACCTCATAGTTGCCAGGAAGGAGAGAAACAGAGGAAGGAGTCAGAGAACTAGATATACCCTTGTAGTACACGCCCCCAGTGGTCTGCTTCCTCCAACTAGGCCCCACCTCCTATAGTTTCCACCACCTCACAATATTCCATTCAAATATGAACCCATCAGTTGATTAATCCATGGATAAGATAAGAACCCTCATGATCCAATCATTTCCCAAAAATCTCACTTCTGAATATTGTTGCTTTGGGGACCAAGCCTTCAATCCATAAGCATTTAGGGGACATTCCAGATCCAAACCCTAACATCATTTGAGTGCTTTTTTCCACATTATAATTTCTTGTGTGAATTAGTTTTCTTTTAAAAAATTCTGGTGTTGCTCCTGCTCCATAAACATCCTTTTGAAAGCACATGTTTTGGGATAATTTTGATTTGTAAATGCAGAACTTAATTAGTTGACTTAGTTCTTGATAGTATACAACAGGGACTGTTCTTAACCATCTGTCATCTGCAGTCATTATACTGTGGGATTATATTTTGCAGAAGAATTGTGTATTTGGTATAATTTTATTCAATTAAATGTGATCCTGGCCCTTTTAGATAAAACAATACTTTCTTTAGTTACATACTGAAGATAATAAAAACATTTTCTATATAAACTTATGAGCTTTCTGAAATAAAAATAAAACTATTACTGCAATATGATCCCACTATTCCACTACTGGGCACACATTGAAGTAAATGCAATGAGCATGTTTAAGAGATTCTTGCTCTCCCGTGTTTTGCAGCCAAGATATGGAATCAGCATTAGTGTCCATCAGCACAGGTGAATAAAGAAAACATGTATGTATACACAACTCAATACTTCTTGGGAACAGAGAGAAAGAAATCCTGTCATTGACATAACATGTATGAATCTGGAGAACATTATATTAATTGAAATACACCAGGCAGGAAAAGATAAATACCACATGATCTCCCTCATTTGGGGAATTTTTAAAAAGTTGAACTAATAGGAAAAGACAGAGCAGTAGTTACCAGTGGTGGGGGCCATTAGGAGGTAGTGAGGAGAAGTATTTGTGAAAGGGTATTCCATTTAGATTAGAGCAGTATGCGGTAGGGACCTACTATATACCACAGTGACTAAAGTAGTGATCATATATTCTATTGTTGAAAATTTTTGAGCTAATGTTGTGTATTCTCACTAAAAATGATAAATAAGCTGGGCGCAGTGGTGCTTGCCTGTAATCCCAGCAGCTCAGGAAGCTGAGGCAGGAGGATCGTGAGTTCAAAGCCAGCCTCAGTAACACCAAGGCACTAAACAACTCAGTGAGACTCTATCTCTAAATAAAATACAAAATAGGGCTGGCATGGTCGAGTGGCCCTGAGTTTAATCCTTAGTACTCCCCCCAAAAAGATAAATAATGTGGTAATGCACATGTTAATTGTTTAGTTTTAAACAATGTATAATGAAAAATACTTGTGAACATTGTATTGTACACAGTGTGTGTAAAATTTAATCTGACAATTTAAATAAATAAATTGACAACTTATAAAAATAAAAAACTTAAAGATAAAGCTATTGTTTTCATTGGCTTTGTGCCTCTTGTTTTAATGACAGTTACTGGTCTCAAGTTGTCAGCTAGCCTAAACTTTCATTTTTATATTACCATTAAATTGTTTCAATATCATTATACATATTGAAGTTTTAGTCTTTGTATCTTATTTCGTAAATCTACCAAAATTGAAGAACTTTTTTTTTGTATCTTCAATGTAAAATTGCATACATTGACTGACTCAGTATTTGTTTTTTCTTCCTTTTTTTTTTTTTTTTGGTGTTGGGAATTGAACTCAGGGCCTTATGCATGCAAGGCAAACACTCTACCAAATGAGATATATCCCCAGCCCAATATTTGTTATTTAATGACAGTGAATGCCCAGAAGTAATGGTCTCTAGTCACTACTGAACATTGTTTTGAATTTCCCAAATGAATTGCATGTTGAATTTCACATTATTTAACCCAGTTCTGTCCCTACTCTTTTGCATAAGTTTTCTTTGAAAATTATTGGGAATTTTTAATTTAATAAGGAGGAAATTCAAGGTTAAATTGAGTGAGTGCTTTCTCTTCTCTGGGTATGAATGACACTTGCAGATCATGTCTCACAATTTCATTTTTTGTTTATTTTACTTTCCTATGGTGCTAGAAATTGAGGCCAAGGACTTGTACATGCTATGTATATACTCTTCCATTGAGGTATGCCTCCAGCCCACAGGTTTTTGGTTTTGGGGATTTGGGTTTTTTTTGGGGGGGGGGTGAGTACTGGAGATTAAACCCAGGGATGCTTTGCCACTTAGCTACACCCCCAGCTCTTTTTAAAAAAATTTTGAGACAGGGTCTCCCTAAGTTTCTTAGGGCATCACTAAGTTGCTGAGGCTGGCCTTGAACTTAAAATCCTCCTGCCTCAGCCTCCCAAGTCACTTGGATTGCAGGCATGTGCCACTGCATCTGACCAGCACACAGTTTTATTTTTGAACCACAATTGTGTATACCCATGGCCAGCATTAGAGGAAAACTCTTGTCTTATTCAAAAACCTGAGGACTACAAGTGCTGGGAGTAACCTGATACTTGGTTTGAGGTAAAACACAAATATTTCCCTTTTATAATGTTGTTGATTGAGTTATTAGCCTTTTTGCTGATTAGCTCTTGATATTGACTCTGTGTGTGTGTATTAAAATGATTCAATGCTTCCTATATTGGTAAATTTGGTGTTCTCTAAATATTATCGGACTAAATTACATTTAGAAATCAGCAGGATTGATTACTGGTATTTGGATTTTGCTTTATCTACATATATGTTTCCAGCAGAAATACAAATTTGAGGAATTGAGATGCCCTAAGCAACTCAGTGTTAATTTCTTTGTTGTATTTGTAACAATTCCAGATTAGTTTGCTTAAAAGCAGTATTCTTCCTCCAGAAAGAGACATAATCCCCCTTTTTCAACACTTAACAAATCTAGTCCCCTCCTGTTTTGGAGAGTGACTGCTGCTGCCAATTAATCTATCAGGTTTTGAAGGGTAATTACACTTTTTGCTATTTTCTCTAAGTTATTGAACAGATTTTTAGACAAACTCTGAAAATAGGAGAGGGAGGCTTTAGACCCTCCCCTTGTTACTGTCTAAGGGTGCTGGATTTATTGTTTCTGTTCAGCAAAGATTTGAAGAACAAGGCACAGATCTAGTAAGCAAGCAGCAGGTTTATTGCAAAAGTGACATAGACAGACTTCTCCAAAGAGAAGGGGCCCCATTGCTGGGAATTCAGTGGAGGAGTTTTGGGCTGTTCTTTTTATGGTCTCTGGAATTTCCTCCTTCCCTTGTCTCCTCCCCTGTCCATGCTAGCTAGCTTCACTATCGTAAATTGGAGCGCCCTGTGTCCATGCATGTGTTTTCATTTTTCTATTGGATTCCCCACTTAGGAGCATAAGTACAGAAGTGTCTGTCTGATTGGGTCCCCTGCTTGTGTTCATGAACACTTTCATCAAGCAGGAAGTTGTGGTGGGAAAACATAAAGGCGGCAGCACCCCAGAAAAAAACCCCAACATGGCGTCTAACGACCCTCTCTCTCCTCTTTGTTTCTTTCACTGGCGTGAAACGTTCCCGCCGGCGCCAGTGTTCAAACCCTGCTGGTGGGAAGCCTTAGCCCCAATTAGAATTAACTTCTTGGGCTCCGGAACTGACATATGGAAGAGCTTGCCAATAAACGGGCGACCTGTTACCTACCTCAGCCCTGCGACCTCTCTTAGACCTATATAAACACACAGCCTTTTGTAATAAAGCGGAAACCTCTTTGGTAATCTGTGTCGTGTGGTACAGCGTTTTCCAGTCTTACAAGTTGACCTCATCAGAAGACCTCTCCATTCTCCTTTGTTCTGGCCCTGTTCTAACTTCCTCACTCGCCATCTTGCCCTGACTGCCTAAGCCCTTCTACATCTCCTTCACCCTTTTCCCAATTCCAGTGGCTATTCCCAGTCCTACTGAGAGAAGAATTAGTTGTATAGCCTGTTTTGCTCTAATACATGTTATTAAAGGTGTGATTACAGATTGAATGTGAGGGGCTGTATCTCATATTTGGAGCTAGATACAGCAGTGCACACGTTCCATCCAGTTGGCTGGTAGATACAAGTAAGAATTGGTTCCACATAGGAAGAATATTTCCGGTGTCTCCATACAGAAGGTAAGTTTGATTGAAAATGCAACTTAGTTTCTTATTTTCAGATTCCCATGTGGATAAAGTTCTGGCCAACACAGCCTCTGTCAGAAATTGGAAGGGGCCATAGAACTGGTCTGGGGTTACCCCTAGGGTTTTATTTTCCAAATGTAAGAAATATCTTTTTACATCAATGAGAATCCTTTCAGTTGAACTTTTATAACTGGGTGGAGCAGATCTCCCAAAGAAAGCTATCTGTGCAAGCAGAGGATCTGTTTGAAAAATAGCCTGAGTTTTTATTTAATAAGGTATCCTTTTTTCAAGAATGGTTTCCATGACAAACATACTGGTTTTCTAAAGGAGGCTGCTTGGGTCACCATGGAATTAAAGTGGACTCTCTGTAATTTTTAAGGAGTGGTGGCAAAGGGTTTTTTTGTTTTTGTTTTTGTTTTTTTTTTTAATTTTCCCAAGTTATACCTAGGATTCTGTTCCCTCTGCATTCAGAAGGGTGCCTGGAACTTGAATCTCATTTGGGTTGTAATATATTCCCCCATATTAGCAGGTGAGATGGGGTCTTAATAAGGTTATATTGATAAGACTGGAATTTAACTGTTCTTTCAGTCATTGTGTTTTTGCTCATCTTTTTAATTTGGAAGTTGTACAAATCATCTAAGATCATTAGCCAGAATGAATGACCACTGTGACATTTCAGGTAGAGAGTCATTTTGCTGGTAGTCCTTAGCTGGGCATGGACTGGGATATTGGTGTTTTCTGTAGAGCTGGAAGATGGGCATATCTAATAGTCCTTAGCCAACTGGGAATTCGATTGGTTTAAAAGACAGTGGGTAAGGTTTGAAGTTCTGAACAGATATGTTGGATGCAAAGATTCTCCCAGAGGCTGGCCTGAGCCAAATTATGATCATAAGGTAAAGACCACTGCTAGAGTCAGGATGAGAAATGGGGAAAGGCAGAATGAGACTTTTAATAAGATAAGAGTCATCTGAAAAAGTAACCTCATGTTAATAAGACAATAAAGTGTCCTATCCTTGAGAGTGTAGTCTTTAAGAATAGTAGAACCCCAAATACAGTGAATCCACAGAGAAAGATAATTCCCCAAACTAGAGCCCACATCAGGTGGGAGAGAGGATCAGAAAGCACTTGTTTATCTTTTTTGTGGCTGCTTCTTTAAAAGGAACTTGAGGTCTTCACCTGACTTGCTGATCCAGTTCTCCTTGAGCAGGGTGTGATGGCCAGATGGCGCTCTCTTTTTCCTCAACAGATGGATCCAGCTGTTGATCTCTGTTGCTTTTACAGCTGTGGGGGTAGCCAGAATCACTTGATAGTAACCTTTCCCTTTTGGCCTCAATTGATTCTCAGAATCCTTCCTTCCAGGTTTTTATTAGTGCCTGTTCTCTGGTTTTACTTATAGGGCCACTCCATCCTTAGGAGTTGGAAGGATTTGTTTTCCTAGAGTTTGAATAGCTAGTTGGAATTTGCCCACATTAGTTAGGAACTAAATGAGTTAGGTGGTTTCAGGATTTGATGTAAATTCTTCTGACAGAAAGTGTTGCCCATATAGCATTTCATAAGGGCTGATATTTAGCTTGGTTCTAGGTGAATTTTGAATTCTCATGAGTGCAATGGGACTCCCATATTTCACAAGTATCCTGTGAGAATTTACTTTGGACCCACTTTAAGTTCTGGTTAGTTCTTTCTACCTTCTCTGATGATTAGGGTCTCTTAGCAAAATGTAGGTACTGTTTAATTCCCAGGACAACACAGACCAGTGGCTTGTTTCTCAAAGAACCTTGATGGGGTGGCCCCTGGGTGGCCAGGATGTCTGTGAGTGGTGGTGGCTACAGCCCTCCTGGTAACAGAGGCACACACATTTTGGGGGGACAACATCCTGACGTCTTCACCTCACAACGGGTAAAAACTACCTTAGAAATAAAGGGCCATTGATGGATGACAGGAAAGAAACTCACAAAATATCGGGCAGTTCTCTTGGATAACACTGAAGTCAGTATCAGAACATGTAATACACTCAATCCAGCCTCCTTAATGCCCATGGACCTCCTGGTGGAGTGTTCATGTGAGGAAATGATCTCCAAACCTATGCCAGCCACCCAGACCTGCCTGACCTGCCTAACCTGGAGGAGGAAGGGTTCACAGACAGTAGCAGTTTTGTCTACAATAGTCAAAGGAAGACTGGGTATGCAGTAGTTAGCCTAGGAAAAAATAATAGAGATTTACTCCTTGCACATTGGGACCTCTGCTCAAAAGACTGAGCTAATTGCTCTAACTAGAGCCCTAATGAAAGAACAAAGTAAAGAGCTCAATGTGGGCACAGGCTCCAAATACATGTTTTTGGTGTTACTTGTCACACAGCCATTTGGAAAGAAAGAGGCCTCTTGATAGTTTGACAGTCCCCCATTAACCATAAGGAACAGATCTTGTAGCTGTTGGAAGCTGTGACTCCCCCCAAA